AGAGAATATTTCATGGCATATCAATAAATTGATATAAAAAATAGATAAAATGTTTGGTCAATGGAGTTAAGACAAAAGCAATTTCCGTTACACTCGACTCTTTTGCAATTAAATTGAAGACCTGGATAATAGCATTAATCAACTTACGCTGTTATTGCATAATCATCGGAAGTTTTGAAAATGAATCTGAACAGTAAATAAGGAAAATAAAATATTAAAACTTAATCATAATAAGTCAATTAATTCAAAGATTTATTCTTGTTTTCTTTATCATAGTGTATTCATGTTTAGCAGATACATTAGTCAAAATTTGTATTTATATAATACTCCTGCATTCTGTGCAATAACAGCGTATATTTAGAAAATTTAATTTATTATATATTTTTAATTGCGTCAGATATTCAATCACAATAATCTTTTGAAATGCCTTAAATATCCTGGAAAAAATGTTTTATATATAATTATATATATCTACAATATGTCAATGTTTTATATAAAGTAACTCCGATATATACACCGCATCTATCAAAAACTTAATTTATTAAGATTATTTATTATATTTAAAGTAAACGAACTATATCAGTAAAAACTTTATACTGTCTACTACTATGAAAAAAATATTAGAAATCCGAAATATTTATTTTTCATATTAAAAAATAAACTTTTTGAAACCCTTGCATTTTTGCCATATATCTCATAGGAATAGGATATACTTATAGGGATGGTTATTCATAAGGGGAGGGAGGATATGTACGGCTCAAGAAAAATTTATAAATAATGCATATAAATAAGACGTAAAATGACCCAAAAACTTATAAAATGTGTTTATAAACCTTTATTAAAAAATAAGAATGGTAAATATGTATAAGAAATAATAAATAATAATTACAATCTTTCTACATATGTTACAATTGTTATGACATAAGGTACATATTTCACATAATGTTTATTGCATTTAGTGCACTGAATTCAATCTGCGCATTTTGTATGCTTTGGGTGTAAATCCCGCTCGTTAAAAATGCCGTATGTCCCAAACAGGTGGGATATACAAGATAACAAACTAAACAAAGAATACGAAAGCAAAGCACTTGTATTTTGTTACACAACATGCTTTACAATTCCACTACACGTATGCATCGCGAAATAATCAAAGTTTTTTACACATCCTACAGTGATCATTTTATGATGGCGTTACTTATTACAATGACAAATCGATTCAACTCACAATAATTTTATTAATATTAACAGTAAGAAACTGAAATCATCACACAATATTAATATAACATAAAGACATGTAACAGAGTAGTTGCGGGAAAATTACTCCCACACCTTCTATTTTTTTTTACTTCTGCGGTGTAAATCTCAGCGCGGCGTATTTGTCGAAGTTACCCCATATATATAATTATATATAATTATATATAAAATATGTCTATTTATATAACATTTTTGCCCGGGTATTATTAAGATTATTAACAAAAATTTAAATAATATTTAATCTTTATGCTTTGTTGTTCAGTTATTCAAATTTAAAACAATACTTTATCTTTCAATTTATCAAAATAATTTAAATCTACTTCAGCTATCACATTGCATCCAGGTTTTCAATTAGACTTCTAAATTAGTTTAAAAGTTGTATGGAACTATTTCTCGTTTAAAGTTACGATATCTGTTAATTTGTAGCTATTATTTTGAAATATTAATCAAACGTAATTAAAATCAAACATGAAGGTAAGCATTTAGATCAAAGAAAATTAATTCTCTCGCGACGCGTTGATAGATTATCTATAGAATTCCATGATGTCTCTTAAAATGTTAATCTCCTGAATTGTATCCTAGCTGATTCAAAGTTAGTTAAAGACGTATACGATAGTTGCACCGATTAATGGCGCGTGTTGGGCTTGTCGTAAAGCCGGATTATGACTTTGCTTGGATAAACGTTTATATCTGGCCTGGCATGTTGCGGTGCAACCATACCAGGTCGGTTGCGGATATTACTTTGTGAAAGCGTATTTTACTTAAATGTATTTCGTGAGAATTAAGACATCTGCGAAACAATTTTGTAAGATTAATTTAGCAATTTTTTAAGTAACACATCTAATACTTTAGACGTATTATTTGTTGCAGTAACTTGAACCGCACAAAATTATAGTCGAAGTCTTAAATTTTTTTTAAACAATGTTGAAATAATCAGTAAAATAACAAAATGTTGCTCCAAATTGCTTGAAATGATAAGATAAAAACGTTATCGTTACTTGGCATAATAATAGTTTTTTAAAATATTAGATATTTAATGTGAGTGAATCAATTCTTGAGAACGTCGTAACAGAATTGCTTTTTCTTTCCAAAAAAGTCAAATGGTTAATAAAACCAAAAATATCCCAAGCACAAATTTTATTTAGATTTTTTGTGGGACATATATTAAAGTGTTCTTTCTAGGCTAATTCCAAAATTTCCTCTCTGAGAAAACTTTTACTCGAAATATATAGTACACGTAACGTATGCTATAGTATATAAAGTAAAATTTTTCTCGGAGAGAAAGTTTTGGAACGTAGCCCCGGAATGAAAAACTGGAAAAAAACATCACAATTATTTCTGATTCATATATCAACAGAACTTCTGCAATATCGTTGTTTCTCTATATTATTTTAGCAAAAAATTATCGATTTGTCAGATATGCTTTTGCAATGCTAATCCAGCATAAAATCCATATATTTTTAATATAGACTTCCATCGCGTGCGCAACATTTCCGTTTTAATTCGGATAGTTTTATATTATCGATATGTGTGGGAGAAAGTAAAATGTCGGAATGTCAGCGGTGTACAGAAGATTTTCCGGATTTTATACTTTTACTGTAATATGATAATATTTGTCTATCCGCGATATTGTAAGCGCGTGTGAAGTTTAGATAATGCGAACTTGACAAGATAATGCACCTTTTGATAGAGAAGACTCGTGTACAAAATCATTTGCGCGTCAAGCATTGAAGTAGAAGTGACTGCAAAATGTCGATCTACAGTATTCCACTTTAAAGTGAAATTCTATAGGGCAACTCCGGCAAATACGCCGCGCTGGGATTTACGCCGCAGATGTCAGAAAAAATAGAAGAAGTGGGAATAATTTTCTAACTAACTCGTAACTCTCTCGTAACTCTGTTACATGCCTTTATGTTATATTAGTATTGTGTTATGATTTCAGCTTTTTACTGTTAATATTAATGAAATTATTGTGAGTTGAATGGATTTGTCACTGTAATAAGTAACGCCATCATAAATTATAATCTACATAAAATGTTTTGATGATTACTGTAGGGAGTGTAAAAGACTTAGTGATTATTTCGATACGTACGTATAGTGGAATAGTAAAGGATGTTGTGTAGCAAAATACAAGTACTTTGCTTTTATATTCTTTGTTTAGTTTGTTGTCTTGTATATCTCACCTGTTTGGGATATACGGCATTTTTAGCGAGCAGGATTTTTTGCCTAAAGCATACAAAATGCGCAGATTGAATTCAGTACACTAAATGCAATAAACGATTTATATGAATGTACCTTATGTCATAACACTTGTAATATATGTAGGAAGATTTGTAATTATTATTTATATATTACTTCATATACATATTTACGATTCTTATTCCTTAATAGAACTTTATAAACACACTTTATAAGTTATTGTGTCATTATACGTCTTATTTATATGCATTATTTCTAAATTTTTCGTGAGCCGTACATCCTCGTCCCTCCCCCTATGAGTAGCCATATATCCCATCCCTAGGGTACATACGGCAAAAATGCAAGGGTTTCAAAAAGTTTATTTTTTAATATGAAAAATAAATATTTCGAATTTCTAATATTTTTTTCATAGTAGACAGTACAAAGTATATACTGACATAGTTCGTTTACTACAAACATAGTAAATAATACTTAAATTAAGTTTTTAATAGGTGCGGCGTATATACCGGAATTATCTTAATCGAAATTTCCTTGACTTCCCATCTTCCATGTATATCTACTTGAATTCCATGTTGAATTCGCTCGATTTAAGCTGGATTGAGTTGAGATAAAGATGCACGACGATATACAACGACGATTATAAATCATTGAAGTTGAAACAGACAATATAATTTATTATTATATTGTTTTAATAGCATGTTTTATAATTTTAGAATTTGTATAAGACTTAAATACATTAGTAGATGCATTTACATTATATGCATCTGCAAATATAATCATCGGCAAGTAACTACTAAATTTATATTAATTTCTGTAATCATAAAAAGTTACATAATATTGTTCAACAAAAAATGCACAAGAACGAAAGTAATCATTTTTCGATTTTTGGGCGCTCATGTTATAATTCTGTTCGCAATTTCCTCAAAATTGCGACGTGATAGAATAGTTTGATAAATGTTCATAACAGAATCATATTTAGCGTTTGACAAACTAAATGATTGTCTCTATTCTTATGTTAAGAAAAATAATTTTTTGTTAAATAATATAATTGAAGAATTTATTTCTTTATAAATCGTTCTTAATTTAAATTTAAGAAATAGATATTAATATATTATGTAAAGTTACAAAAACCTCACATAATCTCTAATTTTTTATCTATGAGTTGGACTATTTGGAAATATATCTGAGTCGTCAATTATAAATTTTTAAATAAAATAAGAAATAAAAAAAATGCGATAAATGCAGTAAGTTTGCTAATAAAGAGGTTAATGCAAAAATATCTTTTAATAATCTATTGGTAACCACAAGTGCAATTAGACTTACCTTTCAAAATATATTTCTTAAATATACATTTGCAAATACGTTAACATACATGGGACTGTGTATTTTCGCATAGAATTAAATAGATACATACTTGTGTCATATTCATATGCAGCAAATTGCAAATATAATTGGCTCGAGCTCGAGCGCATATTGGTTCGACCGCGATAATATTTATATAGATCTCAATATGCCTCATAAGAAATTGGTTTTTCTCCCTGTTTCAGTTATAGTGATGTGCGCTAATTCAACGACCATTCGGGAAATATTGCTAGCTGCCGAGGAGCTCGGGATGGTAGACTCAGGGGAATATGTGTTCTTCTCGATAGAGCTCTCCTCTAGGTGAGTAAACTCGCTTTTAGCACTAAGAGAAATTGCATACATTATTCGTTGGCGTGAATAGCGTGTTATTACGAAAGTTTCGTGCGAAATAAAAAATAATGATAAACATGTACGCGATCATATAAACATAACATTTCACGAACATTTAAATGAGACAGGATGTAAAATATTTTGCGTGTTTCAAACGCACAAGATAGAAAAATAGTTGCAAGAAAAACTCGTATATATCTGAGAGAACGAAATTAATTTCTTTTTTTAATCACACTATGTACTGAGAATAGAATTATGTTTGTGTATAACAGTTTTCCCTGTTTAATCCGAGAATAATCATCTATTGGGGTGATTTTTACACTCCAGTATACATACAGCAAGAAAATGAAACTCAATTGTAATAGGTTTTTTATTAATCAGGAATACACATCTATTTTTTATTTCATTTTATTTTTTTTAAATGTGAAGTAAATATATATACATAATAATCTCAAATGCTAATAACTGTAGAACAATTGATAATGTAAATATCAGGTTAACCTTTTTTCTTTTTTTAATCTGAAGATATTTTACTTAAAATATTCTATGTGTAAATACTTGTTAAAACCTTGTATATTATGTTGTCTAATGAGGAGATTTGTGAAATATTATTTGAGATAGCTTATACTATAAATCAGATTACAATGCTCAAAATCTGCAGCAATACGTTGTATGTAAAAAAACTGGAGCATAAACAGGGACACTTGCACAGTAGCGCGTGTCTCGGACACTGAAGCCGTTTTATAATTGAAACGAATGTGGAGTCGTACTCGGTACATATGGGCTGGCTCCTTATAGATGGAAAATTGCCATGAAATACGTCGCGTCTGTACTCATGGAGGGACAAAAAATAAATAAAAAGACCTGAATGAACGCGAACGATGCTGAACATTTCTTCATAGTAGATTGAAGTATATGTGCTCGTTCTATATAAAGAAGAGATTTTTTTATCTATGCAAATTAGAATATAATTTCTTTGTAAAAATTTATGTAAATATTTTTTGTTATTAATGCGATATCGTCGGTATATTATTCAGTATATTTCGGTAGTAATTACTTGTCTCGACTAACAATAAGTAACAAGCAATTTCTGTAACTATCTGGAACAATGTGCTAATATTAGCACAGTTATTTAACGTAATATGGTTAGAGTGAGACAATTAGGTACATTTACTTTGTTCATTCTGCTTCCTTGAGAAGCTTACTTTATGCTATCAAGAGTTAAATTTTAGAGTTTAGTTCAACTTAATTTATCCCTTGCCACACATCGATATCATCGACGCATGTGGTCGTGAAGCAATTTGCTCGATTAGATAAACTCACGTACATACTGTATATACAATTAAGTATGTTAATGCGCTCGCATTCACAGACTGCCTGATATGCGACTCACCGATTTCTTCTTTCGCAGGATAAAGCAATATCGATCTCTTCTTTCGAAGAATAAAGTTATATTAACTTTGAAAAGATGTCCCTTACATGTTAGAAAAAGAAATTTGACCAATGAAAATAAGCATGTCGGACGGCATTAAGTTTCTTGTTTGTACAAAGTGCACATCGTACGATCGTGTTGTTTAACGAAGATTTGAAAAGCTTTGTCCTGGAAAATTGCTAATCCTGGAACGTCGTAAACGTAACATAGTATGTGATTCTTTGTCATCGTAAGGAACTTACGATCGCATTCTTGGATGTTATTTTATTTTCTTGATGGTCTTATTCGAACAATGATCATGTATCTGCAAATGAAATTAAAGTGAGAGAGACAAACCTTGAATTTTAGTGATCCCGATGATAAAGATCGCACATTGGTGATCGTTCGATTACATAAAGAAAATATCCGTCTCTGTGAAAGTAAAACTATCGTAGCGAATATCCAGTTGCATTTTCGCTTCGTTCTTTGTCTCCCTATGGATCTCGTTAATAGAAGATCACGTGATTTCGGGTCGAGTGGAATTTATCCACTCGGAACCTTATCCCGCAGTCCTTCATTGAGATAAAATCGAATCAGAATAGACACAGTCATTGATACCATTGTAAACTGTATAAAGTTACTGAATTGTATAATCTTCACCATTCCAGTAATAGAGAAACAATGAAACAGTTTTCAGAAAGAAAAATATAAGCAAAAATTTTCGCATGAATTTAGCAAAATCTTGATTTCATAATTTTCAGAAATTTTTTTCCAGTGCAAAAAATGATGAAAATCGGATTTAACGAGCTTCATGTGAGATTTAAAACAAACACAGAATAGAAAATCTCATAGCTTGATGTTGACTTCAGCAGTAATTGGAATTTTTATTCATCAGTTTTTCCAGTTAGAATTAATCCAATAACCTTTCTACAATTGCCAGTCCATTGCCGATGTTGACCAAAAAAAATACCACGCGTCTTTTGAATTTATATTCATTGCGCAAAAAATGTACCCGGTTTTTTCTCGGATAATTAAGCATCTCCGATGTTCCCATCGTACATAAAAAGTCAAGAAATTTCCAGAATGCCAAGCGGAGAAAAAGTTTGCGGAGTGACTTAAGATTGCTTTCGAACTATGTCAATTTTTATTCGTTCACCTTAAGCTCGGAAGAGATGTGCAAGATATAAAAAAAATAAACAAGTGAGCCTTCATTGGCGAAGACGCCCACGGCGACGCCGTGTTATTCCCGACGACGTCACTTTATTTAATCACGCGCCCCGTAATCGTTTCGCCACCCACACCATGATTTTTTTCTACTTGAGAATTTTCACCCCTTGTAATTTAAGTGTTACACGCATTACATATGGTAGATGTTTATGACTTTTATATGTTCCAATTATACGTAACGATCGAGCATCATAAAATGAAAGTTATGATCTCTGATAACGATATAAAGGCGAAAAGCTGCTCAGTCACAGTGTAGTTAAATGATGTTTCACATCGGAACATAAATTAATTGGATCGTATATCATGTATCGCTTTAATATCAACGATTCCAGGAAACAAAATATACATAGTTGTAAAAATTCAATGTTTTTAACAATTCTCATAGTATATAAATATGAGAGAAATTATTTTTATAAATTTATTTCAATTAAATGTAGTAAGGTTAAAAGAAAAAAAAAAGAAAAAAAAACAATTTAAACTTTTACGTCCTGGATGTATTTGATATGTGTATTTTTTTAAGTTTATTTTTCATAATATAACCTTTTCTTAGTAGAATTTATATCACGAGCTGCTTTTATAATATTTACAGAACATTATATCGGCTTTAATATGGTAACATTAAATGAAATGTAATTATACAAAATAAGTAAAATAATCTTTTTTGAAGATTTCAATATGATACGTAATAGTTTATTATTTTAAAAATGCTTATCTTGTAACAGCAGTTTTTGTAACGATAAAATTTTCATAAAATTAAAGTCAAATCTTTTTATCCAATGATTCGACAAACGCGGGGATTTTTTTATATCATAATGATATATATCTGATAAAAAACTTATTGTGGAGTATCAAGTGAATTAATGTATTCTAGCGATAATGATTCCAAGGAGCCATGGAGAGTCGATGGTGACACAGACGAGAGGAACAAGAAGGCTCGAAAGGCTTATCAGGCCTTATTGACGGTGACGGCGCGCACTCCAGACAATCTAGAGTATCTGAATTTTTCGCGTGAAGTTAAATCCCTGGCTCAGAGCAAATATAACTTCATTTTCGGTAACAGCTCAGTCTCAACCTTCGTAACGGCGTTTTACGATGCTGTGTTGCTTTACGCTCTCGCCCTTAAAGAGAGTCTGCCAGAGAAGCCGGGTGAGGTCAACCTAGACGGCGGTAATTTGACGCGGAGAATGTGGGGGAAAAGTTTCAAGGGTAAGTTTCAGCTTTTCTCAGTTGTTATATTTATAACAGAAGTTATTCGGGTCAATCAAGCATGGCTTTAGCGAAAATTATTTATGTCGATCGTAGAGATTTCTTGTGCGGAATTATTTAAGAATTTACGATAAGTGTCTTCTCATTAACGATGGAAAATCATGTTGTCCATTATTAGTATTTGTTGCATTAGCGCTAATGGATCGTCGCACGGCGTTTGTAAATACAGTCGACAAAACTAGCACAGTTTCTTTTAGTAAAAAAACTTCAACGATAAATGTAACGATATCGACACATTGTCATTAAGAGAAAAAAATTAAACTCATAGAATAAAAATCGGTCTATGGAGTGGAAGAGGATGAAATTGATAATATCACTGTTAATTAGAGAAGCTTTGGCCAGAACAATTAAATTAACTATCCCGATGAATCGTTATTCGCAACAATCTGTCAAAGATATCGTCATGGCTTTCCAATTTTAATAAGAAAATTTATGCATCGTTTTTATCTTTCCCTCTCTTTCTAGTTCCTTCAAATGTTATTTGAACGTTTATAATATTTTCATTTTTGCCAAGCATATAACGTGTTCCAAGTATTAACTAAGCGCCTCTTTCAATTTTAAATTCTTCAATTAATTTGGAAGCGATCTTAAAAAATATTTGCAGTTGCACGTAAATAAATTTATATTATTCAAATATTTATCAGTTTGAGTTTACCTTATTTTATCTTGCAATATATGAGAATACAATTGCTTTTTGCTTTGGCTTTATGTCTCATCTGTCAAGCAAATATTTTTGAAGTATGATTATCTTTTATTTCCTTACATATACATATACATATACGCTACAAAGTTCCGTCCCGATCTTCGACTCGTGAGTTTTCTTAAAGAATTTTATAGCTGACGTAGCTAACGTCAAAAGAGATGCAAGGTTGCCAGTTTGCTTTGTACTTTTAATATATTTTATTCATGTCTTATGTTATATCTTCACAGAAAGAACGACTTTTCTGAAGTATCTAGAAATTTTGATATTATAGATATTGATCTGAAAATAATTTTATTGGACCACCGAAATAATGTAATACGTAGAAATTTCAATTAATCAAAATTATGTAGGAAACTTTAAGGATGCGTTCTATTTAACGTTCACAATAATCCTTGTATGCATCATTTCATCTAATTTGATAAACAGCAAGGATGAAATGTCGATTGTGAGCATTGCGAACGTTACTTAAGTGGAACACACTCAAAATGAGCTGCAAACAGTTTTGACAAAGTTTCTAGCAATCGGCTTGGGCGTCCTGCATAATTATTTTGCTAACCCAATAACACGAGTTTCAGATCAATAGCTAGCTAACTGTTTACATACTTAAGCAGAACCGTTTTATCGTGCTCCTATACGAGTATACATTCTCACAGAACATTGCGTTCCTATATATTGATTATGTCGAACTGCTGCGATCGTCATATGAGATTTTATCACCGTATGAAATCAAGTTCTTCGAGAATTAACAATTCTTTGCAACTACCTGACTGTAATATTCAATATTTAATTAAGTATTAAGTAATTAAGGCCCGGTTACATCAACGTTACTTTTACTTTAAGCGAGATTTAAAACTCTTTCTGTCTCATTTTAAAGCTGAAAAAAAGACGAAGAGAGTTTTAAGCCTCGCTTAAAATTAAAGTAACGTTGGTGCAATCTGAAATAAACCACTGAGTAATCGTATACTTTATTTTTGCATAATTATGATCAATTCCAGGAATAACTGGTGATGTAAATATTGATGAAAATGGCGATAGAATTGCGGATTATTCTCTGCTAGACATGGACCCGGAAACTTCCAGATTCGAAGTAAGACATCTCCGAAAATTAACAATTATCTATCTTTAATTATAACAATACAATTTTACCCAAAGTCCCCCGCAACTAACATAATTTAATTTGGAACGTTGCGAGTTGGTGAGCGAGTTTAATATTATCAAGCTAACTAGTAATAAGTATAAAATCCGACAACATCTCTAACGCGTATTGTTTTACTCTGTAACATACTCACGAACTTATTTCATCCTCTTGTGCTTTCATCTTATTCGTAAATTAATTCTCCACAGATTGTAGCCAATTATTACGGTGCGAATAAAACATTGGAATATATCCCTGGGAAACAAATTCACTGGGCTGGTGGTCGTTTAGAACCACCCCCGGATACACCTACGTGCGGATTCGACGGATCATTATGTCCTGATAATTGTGAGTGGGTAATGTTTTTTTAATCTTAGTTTAAATATAATATGCGATATAGAATTGCGAAAATACGATAAAAATATATATTCGCATTTAACGAGGGATAAAACGATTTTCATATTTAATAAACTTTAATACCTTTTCGTGACTAAAAATTATGTAATATTTATAACTGGACTGTTTAAAATAAAACATAGAACTTTTTTTGCAATCGCGTTGGCATAATTCTGTGTGATTCTTTTAGTGCATTAAGCAATCTGATCACTTGATTCTCTCTCTCTCTCTCTCTCTCTCTCTCTCTCTCTCTCTCTCTCTCTTTCTTTCTTTTTTCTTTCTTAGGATATATTCCAAAACGTCACCGAGGAAAATTTTATTCGAAATATATAATACACGTAA